TCAGCTTTCCTGCTCCTCTGATGCTGCTTGGCCTGCTGTGTTCATCCAGCTCTACACCTTGTTATCTCAGATTCTCCAGCATCGGCAGTTCCTACTATCTCTGAACTGATGTAAATAAGCCTGTATTTATTACATTTAAAAGCTGGCCTATGTTTGCCTTGCAAGATCACAGTTATTAGTGAAAGAAAACTTGAACAATGAATGATCTAACTTAAGCTTGTAATAGAACCAAGGAGTCCTGAGTAAGTATCATAAAATTCCATTGGTAATATAAACTATTCACGTGAGTTACAAAATCAGAAAGTTGTGTTGAAGTTGAATAATTTGTTTATATTTGGAATCATCACAAAGCATGTCATGTTGTGATAGAAGTAGTAATTCAGAGTAGAAGCTTGGATAGAAGGTTCTTTTGTCCAATTTTTCTGTGTGTGTTTGCTTTGAGAAGCAGGCAGTTCATTTTGGGTGTCATGAGAAAAGCAGATAATGGAAAAAAAAGTTCATCAGTCATCACAAAGCCTTGAGGCAGAAGACACTCAGCTTGAACAGTCAGCTGAGAGAAATGATTACAAAGAAACTGTGAGAGCACACTGAGGGGAAAAGAAGCCCATATATGTGCAATACAAGGAGAAAGAGCTGAAGATTCCAAGTGATGAGGTCATATAGAAAAAAATAGTGTATCACTTGGCCTAAAGCTAACGGAAGGATCTTCATGTAACTTGCACCTTAAGGAATAGCTGGAATACTAAGTGAATTAAAGTCAATTCTGGAGGGTTGTGGCATACTTGTTGGGTCAATCCCAGAAAAAGTGAATGAGCTTTGAAGACATTGCAATATAGAAACACTCTTGGGGAAAATCAAAGTTAGAACTAAATTCATAGAGTATATTTTTATAAGCTATAATGTTACATTAGTGGTGCTTGCTTTACTTAATTTATCTTTATAAAGTTTGTATTTGTTTAAATAAATTGAAATCTTACAGCCAATTCTGTGGTATTGAAGTGTCAGAGGTTCCCAAAGGATTGTGACAATATCTCATTCAAAATTTAGGTCATGGAGGTTGAGAGTCTGACACATAAAATTTCAATCTTTTGTTTTGAAATTTTCTTTTTAAAAGAAGAGTCTGAGGTTTCTTGAAGTCTCCTCAAAAGCTGAAGAGGTTTTCACTTTTTTCACCACTTTTTTTTCCTATTGAGCTCTAGCTGCTCATTGTCAACAATGTGAATAAAATGAATGGAACAACTTATGGTCTGTCATGGTTCCACTATTAATGTTGCACTACTTTATTCTCCAGCACAGTATTAGATAACTTTGGAAAATAAAATGCCATCAGTCCTACTGAAACATCAAGATTCCACTTGGGATTTATTTTTACCTATTGCATTTGGCTGCAAGTACCTCCAATGGCAAATAGGAACACCTACAGCCATTGGCATATAGGTTCTGACCTTCATTAATAGGCTAACAATATACTTCCTACATCACTAACCTGTAAAATCTGCTCCTGCACATCAAACTAAATCAACTGATTGGCAAAGCTTCAAAGAATCCAATTTTATTTATTACATTTAAGAACATAGGTAGAGGCCTTACGCTCCCTCGAACTTTCTTCCCCATCCAGTGAGATGTACCTCAACCTCAACTCCAGTTTTCTGTGTTACCTGCATATCCCACATGTACACTTAACTGAAAAAAAAAACAGAAATTGGTGGAGAAACTCAACAGGTCTGGCAGCATCGATGGGGAGAAACAAGAGTTCATGTTTTGAGTTGGGTGATCCATGGTTGGATTTGAACTCGGGTCCCTGGTGCTGTGAGGCAGCAGTGCTAACTACGATGCCACCCCTTGTCATCATCAATTACATATTCACTGATGGTTTTCCAAAGCTGAAATCTGGAAGTTCAAATATGGTGTTGTACATATGTTGAAGCCAATCATCTGGTAGTCTGTGTTTCCTTCTGCAATGCAGAAAGTGCACCCAATGAATGAACAGAGTGGCAAACTGTGTGAGCCTGATAATAGTCTTACTTGGGTAAGATTAACATTGTAAAACAATAGAAATGTTCATACTGGGAAGAAAGTAAGAGCTGCAACTTGCAGACAATGGTTATGGACTTTCATTCTGTAAAGGAAAAACTATTTTCTTGTTGATCCCAACCATTTAATTCCTTCATTTTATTTATTTGGACTACCTTTGCTCAGATTGGCAAAAACAGCTTTTTGGAGGCGAAGTGAAATTGAGGAAGCTCCAGTGGAGAAACATAAGAGCTAGGAGCAGGAGTAGGCCGTCCGGCCCTTTGAGCCTGCTCCGCCATTCAATAAGATCATGGCTGATCTTTTCATGGACTCAGATCCACTTACCCGCGTTCTCACCGTATCCCTTAATTCCTTTATTGTTCAAAAAAAATCTACCTTTTCTTTAAAAACGTTTACTGAAGTAGCGTCAACTACTCCACTGGGCAAGGAATTCCATAGATTAACAACCCTCTGGGTGAAGAAGTTCCTTCTCAATTCAGTCCTAAATCTGCTCCCTCTAATCTTGAGGCTATGCCCTCTTGTCCTAGTTTCACCTGCCAGTGGAAACATCCTCTCTACTTCTATCTTATCTATTCCCTTCATAATTTTATATGTTTCTATAAGATCCCCCCTCAATCTTCTGAATTCCAATGAATATAATCCCAATCTACTCAATCTCTCCTCATAAACCAAACCTCTCAACTCCGGAATCAACCTAGTGAACCTCCTTTGCGCCCCCTCCAGTGCCAGTACATCCTTTCTCAAGTAAGGAGACCAAAACTGCACACAGTACTCCAGGTGTGGCCTCACCAGCACCTTGTACAGCTGCAACATAATCTCTCTGCTTTTAATCTCAATCCCTTTAGCAGTGAAGGACAAAATTCCATTTGCCTTCCTAATTACTTGTTGTACCTGCAAACCTACCTTCTGTGATTCATGCACAAGGACACCCAGGTCCTTCTGCATAGCAGCATGCTGAAACATGCCATTCATGTTGATTGAAGCATAGTGCCCTTTTAAGCAATATTTTATTTTGTTATAGCCAGTGCTATAGAGTTGGGTAAAACTTTTCTATTGATGTACATGATGTTTTACAGCTGTGCAAGTGTCAGACTAATCTGTTTTCACATGTTCTTTTGTGTAGGTGACAGATAAATCGGTGAAAGCATTTGCAGAACATTGTCCTCTGCTGCAGTATGTGGGTTTTATGGGCTGTTCAGTTACATCCCAAGGGGTCATCCACCTCACTCGGGTAAGTACTAGCCAGGAACTACTTGTTTTAAGTATCTGTAATTATTGACATACCTGTGTTCTGTAACATCTTTCATGAAGAATGAAGCAGAAAATGAGAAAAATATTGATTCTGCTGCTATTCCTCCTACATCTTGACATCATTTAAAAATTCAGACTTTGGTTGAATTTCATCTCTGAAGAGGATTGTTATGAAATAACTGCCACTTCTTAATAATAATGATGAAAACAGAAAATACTGGAAAGACTCAACAGGTTTGGCAGTAAATAGGAAAACATTGTTAATATTTAATGTCGTGACCACTTATTAATGTCAACTTCTAACTGCTAAAATGTATTCCACTCAGGTATCAGTAAAAGAGGTATAAAGTAACTCAGCTGGAGGTAATTGATTTGCATGTATAGAGGATTTGTTAACAGACGGGAAATTGAGATTTGTGAGAAATGGCATATTTTCAAATTGGCAGATTGTAACTTTTGGGGTGCAACAGTGCTGTTGGGATCAGTGCTGTTGTCTAGACAAAGTTGAAAGTCATGTATTTAAATTATGTTACAAAGCTAAATGAGAACACAGGCTACGAAGGGGACACATTGAAGCTCCAAAGGGATGTCCAATGTGAGGTTATTCACTTGGCCAATAAGAATAGAACAGTATAATATTTTTTAAAAGGTGTGATACTTGTACACTTCGATGTTCATGGGAGTTGGCGGTGCTTGTACAAGGAATAATGATAGGACGCAGGTATAGCATACAATTATGAAAGCAAATGACACAATGGCCTTTATTGCAAAGGTATTTGAATGAAGAATAAGTAATAAAACAGAAAATGCTGCAAATACTCAGCAGATCAGGCAATACCAATTCAGGTTTGAAACATTAGCTCTGATTTTCTCCCCAGTTAGTACCTGACCTGGTGAATACTTTAAACATTTTCTGTTTTTATTTCAGATTTCCAGCATCATAACATAAGAACATAAGAACTAGGAGCAGGAGTAGGCCATCTGGCCCCTCGAGCCTGCCCCGCCATTTAATAAGATCATGGCTGATCTTTTTGAGACTCAGCTCCACTTACCCGCCCACTCACCATAACCCTTAATTCCTTTACTGTTCAAAAATTTATCTAGCCTTGCCTTAAACATATTCAGTGAGGTAGCTTCAACCGCTTCACTGGGCAGGGAATTCCACAGATTCACAACCCTTTGGGTGAAGAAGTTCCTCCTGACTTCAGTCCTACATCCGCTTCCCTTTATTTTGAGGCAATGCCCTTTAGTCCTAGTTTCACCTGCTAGCGGAAACAACCTCCCTGCTTCCACTTTATCTATTCCCTTCATAATCTTATATGTTTCTATAAGATCTCCCCTCATTCTTCTGAATTCCAATGAGTATAATCCCAGTCTACTCAGTCTCTCCTCATAGTCCAACCCTCTAAACTCTGGAATCAACCTAGTGAATCTCCTCTGCACCCCCTCCAGTGCTAGTATATCTCTTCTCAAGTAAGGAGACCAAAACTGCACACAGTACTCCAGGTGTGGCCTCACCAGGACCCTATACAGCTGCAGCATAGCCTCCCTGTTCTTAAACTCCATCCCTCGAGCAATGGCAGACAAAATTCCATTTGCCTTTTTAATCACCTGCTGCACCTGCAATCCCATCTTCAGCGATTAATGCACGAGGACACCCAAGTCCCTGTGCACAGCAGCGTGCTGCAATTTTTTACCATTTAAAACATAGTCCATTTTGCTGTTATTCCTACCAAAATGGATGACCTCACACTTGTCAACATTGTACTCCATCTGCCAGACCTTTGCCCACTCACTTAGACTATCTATATCCCTCTGCAGACTTTCAGTGTCTTCTGCACACTTTGCTCTACCACTCACCTTAGTGTCATCTGCAAATTTTGACACACCACGCTTAGTCCCCAACTCCAAATCATCTATGTAAATTGTAAACAATTGAGGTCCCAACACTGATCCCTGAGGCACACCACTAGCCACTGACCGCCAACCAGAAAAACACCCATTTACCCTTACTCTTTGCTTCCTACTGGTCAACCAGTCTTCTATCCATGCCAATACATTACCTGTAATACCGTGCAACTTTATGTTATGTAGCAGCCTTTGGTGTGGCACCTTGTCAAATGCCTTCTGGAAATCCAGATACACCACATCCACAGGTTTCCCATTGTCCACCATGCGAGTAATGTCCTCAAAGAATTACACCAAATTAGTTAAACATGACCTACCCTTCATGAACCCATGCTGGGTGTTCCCAATGGGACAATTTATATCCAGATGTCTTGCTATTTCTTCCTTAACGGTAGATTCAAGCATTTTCCCCACTACCGAAGTTAAGCTAACTGGCCTATAGTTACCTGCTTTTTGTCTACTTCATTTTTTAAACAGTGCCGTCACATTGGCTGTTTTCCAATCTGCGGGAACCACCCCAGAGTCCAGTGAATTTTGGTAAATAATTACTCGTGCATTTGCTATTTCCCCCATCACCTCTTTTAGTACCCTGGGATGCATTTCATCAGGACCAGGAGACTTGTCTACCTTTAGCCCCATTAGCTTGCCCAGCACTGCCTCCTTAGTGATGATGATAGTTTCTAGGTCCTCACCTGCTATAACCTTCTTGCCATTAGTTTTCGGCATGTTATTTGTGTCTTCCACTGTGAAGACTGACACGAAATAACTGTTTAATGTCTTGGCTATTTCCTCATTCCCAGTTATTGAATTGGCCTTCTCATCCTCTAAAGGACCAATGTTTACCTTCGCCACTCTTTTACGATTTACATATTTATAGAAACTTTTGCTGCCTGTTTTTATATTCTGAGCTAGTTTACTCTCATAATCTATCTTACTTTTCTTTATAACTTTTTTTGTGGCTTTCTGTTGGCCTTTAAAGATTTCCCAGTCTACCAGTTTCCCACTACTCTTTGCTTTTTTGTATGTGTTTTTTTTCCACTAAAGCACTTTAGTGTTGTGTGAAGAAGCACTAAGGCTTAGTTTAGTTATACAGCCTTCCGAAATACCGCATCTGGAATACTGTGTGGAGTTTTGCTCCCCATATCTAAGGAAGGATATGCTTGTGTTGGTGATAGTACAGTGAAGGACCATTTGATTTATTCCTGGGTTGAGAGGTTTGTCCTATAATGAGAGGTTGAGTAATTTGGATGTGTGTTTTTTGGGGTTTGGAAGAACGAAAGACAGTGCTTAATGTGGTGGACACTGAGGGGTTATTTCTCTGGCTTGGGAATCTAGAACATGTAGGTATGGTCTCAGGATCATCTAGGACTGAGGTGACAAATATCTTGACGCACAGTGTTGTGAACAATTTGGAATTGTTTACCCAAGAAGGTTGTGAATACCCTGTTGTTGAGTACATTTAAATCTGAGATAAATTGTTGATGTCTCAGATTTAGAGAACCTGGGGAGTGGGAGAATGGATTTGGTTCAAAAGATTAGCCGTAATTACATTCACTGGTAGAATTTGATCAGGTGCAATAAGAACTACTCCTGCTCCTATTATTCCATTCTTACGGCATATAAGGATGAAAACTGCATAGAATTTGATTGCATGTTGTTCTGTACCGGTCTTTTTTGTGAGCATGTTAGCAAGTGTGACTGATCTCTCGTGATCGAATAAATGTTAGGGTTTAGGTATTGATTAGCTTTTTGATGCTGGTTTAGAATTATTGTACTACATTATACAAAGATTTCTTGTTGTGATCAATCTATTTTCAGTCTTGAACCTAAAGAAAGTCCTCTCTCTCCCAAAGTCAAAGAATATGAAGCCCTAGACGACAATGTGATGAAATAGATATCACAAATACTTTCACACATAATTTTTATGGGGTTGATTTCAGTTGGTTTTATCTTTCTTTTTTAATCACTGTTCCTGTCATTGGTGCTAAGGCATACCTTTCTGTATGATATCCCAAAGGTTGGGTGATTTGGATTGATTTACTGTCCTGGAAACCTTTATCAGATGGGCATCCATTCTCATTGTTTCAATTTTATATGAAGTGCTTTCTGTTAAAATTTTCCTGTCAGAATTACCGTACTTCTTAGCATAGAAGTTTATTTGGTAGACGACATGCATGACAGCCATTCTGTTGAAACAGTTTTAAAAAAATGATGTGAAATGATATAGTCTAGGAAGTCTTGTATTTGATTAGGGGCAGAATCTTCCCAGCCACTAAGTGCTGTAGGAATTGACGAGAAAGTTGGAAAATAGGCTGAGACAGCAGTAAGGTTATACATGATGCAAGAGCAAAAAGCCCCATTCTCCAACTGAGTGTTGAACACCAAGGTAAGAATCACAGCAGCGAGTGATGAGATGCTTATTTGCATGCGTTAGCATTTCATTGTGAATCTCAACTAATTGATATGCTGTTTCCCATTCTCCTACCCACTGAATAGAAACTAGATGATGACAATTCCTAGCATGAAAGCTAGAGTGGTTATCTGGCAACTTCAGCTTGTCGCTTGCTTCTCCAGCCCTCAATCTGACACAAGTCGGAGATGTTGCCAAGCACACTTCATGGGCAGCAACTGCACGCGGGATGATGATAGGGCATTAGAAGACATGGGCTACTGCAGGTTTAGGATACATGGACGAAGAGATAGAGCAGCATGATAGTATGCAACATTAGTGCATTAGAAGACATGGGCCATGTCTTCTAATGCATCTAATGTTTCAAAGTGAAGATTTAAATGGACTCAACAGGGAGTGTAAGGAAAAAGGGAACATAGAGGTTCTTGGGGCTCCTTGGTTACCAGGTTGAGCCTGCAACTCATGGTGCCAAGTACAGCCTGCATTGTCTTTCATGCTTCTGCAAGTCATTAATATGCATTCAAAATGGAAAATAGCTGTGACCGTACCCTGAATGGGTGAAGAAAATGTTTCTTTTCTGTCTGAGCATGCGGGCTGTACTTGTAAGTGATATGAGACCTTCAAGGGGCAATTGAATTAATCAGGCACTTAGACAGCACAGG